CACCAGCCGGAATCGCGGTCATACAAACAAAACAAGCCGGTAAGGTACCAAACAGGAAATACGCATAGTGTAGAGCGGATGTAGATTTGACCAATCAGAGGCCTCCTGTCTGCGTCCAGCTACAATTTGGGAGAGGTGCAGCAGAATGTCTGCGGAGGGCGCGGGGATGTCTCTGCGTTCACTGCGACACCTACGTAGAAGACCTAGTTTCGAAGTATAAATCAGCCTTTGGACTTAGGTTGCTGAGGTTGTGAGATAGAAAAACGTTGGTTCTTTTTAAAGTCGATATTTTTCCTTTGGGCACAAACAAAGAGACCAGCCTCTGTAGCAGAGCTGCCGTGCTTAAACTCCATCCTCAAGCCCAGCTCTTAAAGATGATTACTGAAGAACAGCTAGGACACCCAGAAGATCCCCTATTACTTTCCTGAATCTCAAATCTCTTCTCTCTTCACTATGATACCGAATGTTTAATTACTTTAAGGGAAGCAAAAAAGTAAGAACAGTGCTGCAAAAAGGTTGTGATTTCCTCTGCTGCCCTTTTAGAAAAGCACTTCATTTTGTATCACCCTCTCTGTTGTACTCTGAGCTGCCAGATTTAAAGTCTTCTTGAGCTAATGTTTAAAATTTGCTCTTCATTAGTGAAAAAAAATGATAGTGCTGATCTGACCTACTCCATTTACAGCTGTGTGAAGTCTTTCTGCAAAGCGAGGTGGCATGCTGGGCCTCTCATCAGGTCGCACTGGGGGGTCGGTGGTCACTTGTCTAATGCCCTCTGCCAAATGCTGGCAAAGATGGGTACAAAACAATCTCCCCATTCCTTTCCATCGCCTCAGCAGATACCATGGTAACTAGGCGGAAAGAAAACCGGGTCCTTCTAGCCATTCCACGCATGCCGTAGCATCCTTTGTGAAATGCCCGAGGTCCACGACTGCTGTGTTCTTTAGGGGCTGAGATAACTGAAAGATTTAATGTGGAAAATAGTCCTCCTCCTTCCTTTCATCACCACTTTTTATCTCTCCTTTGTACTCGTTGTCCTTTCAGAGAACATCCCTTCCCAGGAAACTGCATCTGAGGACGAGGCTTTGATAATGCCACAGCTGCTCTGATACAAAAAATCTCGCCCCGACTTACAGTTTCCCCAGCGTCACTGATCGGAAACTACAGCTGAGCCTTCTTCCAATTTACATATCAGCCTGCAGATTCATAGAAACGCCAACAAACAATCAACTTGCCTCAGCCACAGACGCGGTCTACCAATGGTCTGTCTGCACATGGCGTACCGACACCCGCACTTGCGGAACAAAAGGGTGATTGTTTGGAGCTTGAATTAGATGGACAAGTCTGTGGGTGGTAATGGAAAAGACTAAGATGACTGTCTCTCCAGGGAATCCTGACATCATACTGAAAGCATGTTGTGTTCATCAATAACTTCAAGTAGTCAGTAAATAAAGTCATTCGACATTTCAAGCTGCCTCGACGTTAAGGATATTAAACAGTGAAAAGCCTTGATTAAATCCAACATATTTAAAAAACAAAAAATGCAATTTTGAAGCTAGGCTGTTGATTAGAACAAGTAATGCTAATTTCTATAATCAGCATTCATTATTTGCTCTTTTTATGATTTTCTTTTACTTTCAGAATGTTATTTACTTTAAAATCCTTAAAGGGAAAGCGTACAGTTTCAAACTGAGCTGTTTAGCAGGAAGGAAATAAACATCCAACCACCTGTGAAATTCTCTTAACTTTTTTGCTTTGATTAAAGAAATGTAAAGAAAAAAATTGTATTTTGTCATATTAATGTAAGGGGGCCCAGTCCTCGACATGGCCGTTCAGGTAGTTTATGGAGTAAGTTGTTTGAAAGATCAAAAAAATTATGACTTCTAAATTATCTGAATTAATAAATCAACATTCTTTATCTTCATCTGGTTTCTATTCAACCCAGAGCATGTCCAAAGAATTAGCTTTTTGTTGACGTGTTTATTGACTAAAAACAAAGATCAGAGCTCTTATCTTTATCTGAACAGAAAAGCGACATGTTTTGTAGTCATTGAGCATCGAATCACTAATCAGATAAAATTGTTGCTTAGTGCATCTCTATCCTAACCTTCATCTGATTTTTTGTTTTTAAATCAAACCAATGGCAAAGTTCCTAAAAGTTAAATTCAAGACTTTTTAAGACTTTTTAATGCCACTTGAAATTAAAATTTAAGACCAAACTCA